CTATCCTTTCAAATTTGCCAACTAGAAATATTTTTCAAAGCTTTACACGTTGGGGGCAATTTTGTTATGCTATTTAAATTGTATTCTATTGCTTATTTAGAAAAGATCCTGTCTATATTTATTAAGTGATCTAATCTCCAATTAATCACAATAAATCAGCATTAATTAATTACAATCTCAGGCTATTTAACTTGTACTATTTACCTTTGATCGTGGATTCAAAATATTTTCCAATTGGCTTCCCAATTGGGATAGGTAATATGACCTGAATAAAATACATAGAATTTCAACTGAACTATATGTGAGATGTCCTTTATTTTAATGAAATTTTAAATAACAATCAATCCTGTAATATTTGCAATATAATACTTTAAATATATGAGAAGTTGTTTTCTATCATGGACCCAAATGTTATTTTACATTGATTTTTAATATGTGTTATAACTAAGCTCTCTTTATAATTTTTTTCTTTAAATGATCGCAAAATTAACTGTCTCTATTATTTATTTAATTTATTTAATTAATAAATGAAAACCACACTCCTGCTCTAATGAAAATTGACTGACCTTCCGTTCTCTGCCGGTGCAATTCTATGGCCACGCCACAAAAAAAACCTTTCTCTGCTTCTGCTCCTATTGTGGTCCAGATGACGTACACCTTTCTCCTATCTGTCCTTGTATCTGCAACCCAACAACTCGTGTTATTCTATGCAGCCTCCTTTTGAGCCAATCTCCGCGCCTGTTTATAACTCCAAATGTTTCCGGCTTCGTCTGATATTAATATTCTTATATCCTTTGGTTTTTCTATCTCTCTGTACCCCGTTCCTCACACTGATCAGCTTTTACACAGCAAATAAACACACCCGGTAAATTACGTCTTCGGGACTTCAAACAAACACAAACCACAAAGCTCCTTCCTTCTTGGGCGACGAAAACTGACTAACTAACTTTTTTCCTCTCTCCTATCTCATAGCCAAAACCACTACCTCCATTGCATTCAAAAATTGACCAATAAAAATCATCCACCTCTGTGACGTATATCGTTACCAACCAACTCTCTTTATAAAACGTCATTCGGGTAATTCCAGAAAACAACATTCTTTAATTATTCTAACTAAATCTATCTGCTCTACAAATATTTCTTACTAATAGCTACAAACGATACCTGTTTCTCAATTCAATGTCTTTTGTTAATAAACTTTTACCGATATAATCTTTCAGGGAGAAAAACCACCGCAAATCCCGGTCTATTGTTTAAACACTGTCTATATACACTTTTATTCTGGGTAAATCCATTCCACAATAACCGACTTATTTAAATTTTTTATCGATAATATTTGAAAGTCTTGTCTCTGAGGCCTAATGAACAATTCTTCCAACAACTTAAAATACATATTTTGTCTTATACAGGATGTTTGAAAATTTATATGCCCGTGTCTTTATGAAATATCAATAATTTTAATTTTTATTTAAGTAATAAAATTTGTATATCGGTTTTTTATTGCTAATGGACATTCAAAAGTACAACAATATATAGCATATCCACAAATGTAGTGTCTCATTATAAAAGTTATTTTAACAAGAGCTGTGAAACTGAATAATCCCTTGTAAATACTCTATTGTTGTATAATTATCACAGCTATCCAAGCTGACAGGACCGGCATATAGCCAAGTCAAGTGTAGGTTAGTACATATTATAACCATATCAATATTATCATTCAAGCGTAATGTCAAAAAATTCTTTTTATATACATACAATCTTCCCATAATTGTTGTATTCTTTTATTAATAATTAATTTAAGTCTCAACGAAATAAAAGCGCCCAAAATTATGAAGATCTCAATTTAGTCAAATTGACTGGACCGCCCGTGGAAGTTAATAAGTTTTGTTAAAACGGGTAATATCCCAAACAACACATTAGAACTGACAAACCCGTATATACCGTTATAATGAGTAAACTTAATTGAACTATTAACAAATTACTTAGAATTTATATAACTTTCTATACCTGTTATTTATCGTTAATTGTTTTTTAATTTGAAGAGAGTTGTACGATGACAAACTAACACTTAAAAGTCAACTTTCGACGAAATTGGTTGTAAAGTCGTTTAAGTGTTCAGTTTGTGCAAAAAATTAGTTGAGTATTGTTATAAAAGTGTTAATTTTTTTAGAGTGTGTACAATTGCCAGTGAATCCACGCAGTCAAATTTACCTTTATTGTATGAAACAATGTGGCGTCCCTGGAGTCCAGAGGATAATAGGGCAATTTCGCCAGTTAATGAACCGGAAGCAAATCGACAAGGAGGTGATCTCATTCAAGAATTAGAACCTGAACACCGCCAACGAATACATTTATCTACTAATGCAAAACAAATTATTGCTAATGATTTTCAAACTCTTGTCGAAAAAAAACATGGACAGTAACGAAGCCTTATATGAAACGGCAACTTTGACTAAAAAAAACATTATCCACAGTCAGAAAAATTTTAGGTCATCCTATAATACCAAGATTAGTAAGACAGGATAACAGTATTTCTCGGAAGCTCGATCGTGCAGATGAAGATCTTTTTCGTCGCAACGTGTATGTCTGGTATGAAGAACAAATTGTACCCAGACTAGATATATTAGTTGACAGGCTTCACGTCGACAACACTGAAATTAAGTGCGGTAGAACAACTGTTAGGAAATGTTTGCAACGTATAGGGTTTAAATACAAAAAAGTAGATAAAAGACAGGTACTTATGGAATCCAATCGTTTACGGTATGGCGAATGGAATATTTAAACAAAATTACAAAGTATCGTCGAGAGAATCGACCTATTATTTATTTAGATGAATCGTGGTTTGATACTCAAGATACGCTATCTAAAGGTTGGATAGATAATAGTCAATCTTGTTCAACAAAAGCGCCTTCTAATAGAGGAAAAAGAATAACAATATTCCATGCTGGATCAATCAATGGATGGGTTCCAAATGCCTTATCTCTATTAGCTAAAAACATCAGTGATTTATGTCTCGATTACCATGACAACACAACTTCAGATATATTTGAAGACTGGTTCAAAAATAAGTTAATACCCAACATACCCCCTAATAGTGTTGTAGTTATGGACAATGCAACATATCATAGCAGGCAATTAAATAAAATTCCCAGTTCAAGCGATACGAAAATAATTTTACAAAATTACTTGTATGACATAGATATTTATTTTTACATGGATAATACTAAGAAGGATTTATTGGACATTTTAAAAAGTTTCGCATTGAAAAAAGAATACTTTTGTGATAATTATGCCGCAAATATGAGTAATACGATTTTAAGACTTCCACCATATTACTGTGTATTTAACCCAATCGAACATATGTGACATCAACTTAAGTCAAGAGTTCGAAGAAATAATACTTCGCCACATTTAAATCCATCTATCCTGCATTTAATTAAAAGGAAAGTACTCAAAATTGATGCGAATAGTTGGAAAAATGCAGTCTCACATATCATGAAAGCTGAGAATTCATATTTGCTACATATAATATACAAAATATTATCATCAGTTTAAAAGACGACAGTGATAGTGACACAGATTTAACATAATATCTATGTGATATAATATTTATACTCGTTTTGTTTGTGAGTGTGTTTTGTGTTTTATTGGCACAGGTTTTCACAACCAACTGGTCAGTCAATTTCATAATGATTTTTTTAGACTATAACTTATCACTAACTCAGGGAGTAATGTGTAGTGTCTGTGTTAAGTAAATGTCTTGTTACTTTAGTAAAGTCGACGTCATTGTCTTTACAAAGAGATGCTAATTGTATCCGAATTTCGGCGGTACTTCAGGTGAGTACCGATTTACTCGTTTTAAAAGGTTTATATTTATTCATGTTGACTTGTTATGTTTAATGTCTGTCCGTCTCATGTCTGAAAAAGTTTGCAAAAAATGATAAATTTCTTTATTAATAATTTCACGAAAAAAATTATTCTTCACTAAAGGTTGTGCATCACATAAAATTATTAATCAATAATCTTATAAAATATTATGTGGTAGATAAGGAAAATCATAATTATTAATTAATATTGAAGAGTGAAGAAAGGTTATTATTAATTTAGATATACAAGAAAATGGTATTTTAAAATGTTTGTAGGTATTACAAATTATGTCCAAGTTTAGATTCATGGCCTTCTGATAATTAAATAATACATTTAAAGTAAAATGTAAATAAAAAAATACTTTTGTATTTGTTGATTTTGTAATATTGAATAATTTATCAGTTTATGTATTTTTTCCCTTAATTATCTAGGTATTTATTTAAATTAAATATGTAATGTGAATGCTAAATAAAATATAAAATTCGTTTTTTACTATTTTTTACTATTTACCTGAAGAGGCGAATCTCTTTATGGCGTCGACTTTATCAGCGGGATACTTTTAAATCCTGCACAAGTTAATTCTTATAAATGTGAATGAAGTTTACATATAGTAGATATATATATATATATATATATATATATATATATATATATATATATATATATATAAATTCGCTTTCTTAATCAGCAGCATCAGTTCATCTAAAAAGAACAATATGAAAAAACCCACACAAGCATGGAAAAGTTGTTACGTGTGTTACCTCAAAAAGACAAAAAGATATGTAGCAGTCAGTGATATTAAAAATGTAAAGACGCTTAAATGGACATTATACGATTACGATGTATAAACAATAAATTGAACTAAATACAGTTAACAATTTGTTCAAACTTAGCACAGCAAAAGAACATGTGGTTTATTATACATGTATATATAATTATATATATATATATATATATATATATATATATATATATATATATATATAATATATATATATATATATATATATTTATATATAATATATATATATATATATATATATATATATATATATATATATATATATATATATATATATATATACTTATATAAATTTATATGAGTTAACACACGACTATTACTTCTGTTGTAGGATCTTATTCCAATAATATTGTCGAATTCACCTGCCGGTATATCTACAAAAATGCTGCTACATTATGGACAAGTAATTCGATCAGGTATGCAACATTTTGATAATTCTATATAGTTATTTAAAATATTTAAAACTTAAAATTTAACCCCCTCTGTGGCTCAGTGGTAAGAGCGCCTACCTTTAACCCATTTGGTCCCACTGTACTCGTCTAAGTACAGCAGCAAAAATGGCCTAGTAGTGACACATCTGGCAAAAAAGTGGTACTACACGTGTCGGTTTCTATTAGGAAGTGTTCTACTAGATTTTTACAAATTATACCCTAGGTGGCGCTCTTCTTTGTATTTTGACCGCAGTAATTATAACCTAACCTCGATATTTCTGTTGGATTATTGAAGTACTTGTTATTTTGTGATTTTGATATTATTTATCGTTTTTTCAACTTTTACTGTTGTAAGGGTAAGTACTAGTAATGTTTATTTATTCAGTATAAGATTTTTTTTATTATTTTTGTTTTTATGTTACAAAATAGACCTGTACTCGTCTGAGTACAATGGGTTTGTATGATATCAAAATGATTAAATGGTTTTTTATTGTTTTATGTTCAATATTGGTATTATAATGGATTTTCAAGAATTGACGCCTATTAGTCCTATTGGGTTTTATGGAAAACGTTATAAAACTCTTGCTTTAGCTTCAGATGACATAGCGAGTTCCACTCATAAAGATGCATCAGGGGTAGTCATTCCTCCTGAGATTGCCTATCAAACTGACAATGACGACATAGATGAGGATGATCTTCAGACTCAAAGCCTTCCGAATGACGTTCCCGGAGAAATAGAGGTTTATTACACGAGTGATGACTCTGATGACGATGAAGAAGACAATCTTCCTCTTGCCATTAGAAGAGAAAATTTACTGAAGAGTCAAAATAAAACAAAGGAATCTGACTGGACGGAAGAAATTACTGACATTAGTATGACATCTACAACAGGTTACGAGGGTCGTCTGGATAATATGAAAGAACAAATCCGAGGTAAATATCCTATAGAAATATTTGAGAAATTTTTCGACAATGAAATTATTGAATATATTACACAGCAGACAAATTTATATGCCGCTCAAAATAATAACCATCAATTTTATGTAACGCAGGAAGAGATAAAGATATTTCTGGCTGTTTTACTTTTTACTGGATACCATAGATTGCCACGAGAGCGCAACTATTGGTGTTTAGATGAGGATCTTCATATTCCCTTCGTGGCTAATGCAATTTCAAGAAACCGTTTCCAAGAAATTAAAAAATACCTACATTTGGCAGATAATTCGAAAATTGATACAAGGGACAAAATGCATAAAGTGAGGCCTCTAATGAACAAACTAAATAAAAAATTTCAACAATTTGGCATATTCCACAAAGACTTATCAATTGATGAAGCGATGATAAAGTATTTTGGGCATCACTCATCAAAACAGTTCATAAGGGGAAAGCCAGTAAGATTCGGGTACAAGGACTGGATGCTTTGTAGTTCAACTGGTTATTGCTACAATTTTGACACATATTGTGGAGCATCAGTGGATAAACCAAAAGTCGCGGCGTTGCCTTTAGGATCACAAGTTGTTCTAAAAATGCTTGATGTCGTTGATGTGCCTACTGATCACGAAGTATTTTTTGACAATTATTTTACTAGTTACAATTTGATGGAAACTTTAAAAGAGAAGGGCTTTTGAGCAACAGGCACAGCAAGAGAAAATCGTATAAAAAATGTCCTTTGTTACTTTGCGCTGTAATTAAAAAGAAGAATCGTGGATATTTCGAATATCGCTTTGACAAGACAAGTCTACTACTTTTTGTAAAATGAAACGGCAACAATGTTGTCACAATGGCATCAAATTACGATAGTATTGAACCACTTTCAAAAGTGAACCGTTGGAGTGCTGCTGCCAAACAAAAAATTGATGTTCCCCAACCAAATCTTTTCTCATCATACAATGCTTCAATGGGCGGTGTTGATCGCTTTGACCAATCGGTTAATAACTACCGAGTCAGTATACAAAGTAAAAAATGGTGGTGGCCCATTTTTACCCACATGCTCAACTCAGCTCTTGTTAACTTGTGGAGGTTACACATATTTGCTGGAAATAAAGAAATGAATCTTTTGGATTTTCAACGAGATGTAGTACGTCATTATTTAAGAAGTTTTGGGAAATCTACTTATTCTAAAAAACGACTAGCAGGATCTCTACCAATTAGTCTAAAAATAGATGGAAGCGGTCATTTTCCTAAGAAAATAGACAAACAACTTCGATGTCGCTTATGCCATCAAAGAGTACGTTGGACTTGTATAAAGTGTGAAGTTACTCTGTGTATTGAACGTAATTGTTTTGTACAATTTTATACTCGTTAGATTATAATACAGGATGTAACCAAGTATGTACCTATATATAAGAAGAAAATAAAATATTTTCATTTTTACACAATGTTTTATATTTTTGACTCCCAAATCAGCCCACTGTACTCGTATGAGTACACCTACTTTTTGCTAAAAATTTAAATTTTTTTTGTCAAATAACAATGAATTGTTACTATTTAACCAGATTCAACAAGGATATTCAAAAAAATCTTAATGAATGAATTAATGAATGAAAATAATTTTTATCCTTGTGCGATCGGTACTCACCGGAGGGACCGCAGACGTTCGGATACAATTAGCGTCTCTTAGCAAAGACAATGACGTCGACTTTGCTAAGTATCAAGACAATTATTCTATACACACATACACACATTACACTAGGTACCTGACTGTACCATGCCAATGATCTTAGTTAATAATAAAAATAATAATAAAACTTGAAACACGCTGTCTTGAATTTTGTCGAGAGCACAATTAGATTTTTCTGAATACTTAATTCAAACTAGCTACTCAAGAGAAGACTATACATAAAAGATACTACAGAACTGCTAATGAAATATAACAAATTAAATAGATTACATTACAATTCAAATACTTATTTACTTTCTTGCTTTTATATTATCTTTTTCGTCATCTGCGATAGCCCTAACGTTTTTTCTTCTACGGATATATACGGTTTTGCTTTAAGTATGTAGTAACGCTATTACTTATCGGTCCCCTATCTATTAAGTCAATATACCAAATTTAGGTTTGAGATCTTTTTGCTACTATTTAAGCAATGATCGATTTTGCCCGATTTCTTTATGTTGGAAGTGTCCATTTAACATTTTTAAGTTGTTTTGCGCGCATATTAAAATAATTCTCTTTCCATTTTTATTAATTTGTTATTAATCGCTTCTTTACTTGACGTGAATTTTTGTCATTACTTCTTCTTCCGATTCTTGCGATAAAATTTTTTAACAAAATTGTTTCTCTTAAAGACCGTATCTTAATTATTTCATTATTTAGCTTTGTTAAAATACATCTTTCGTAGCACGTTTATCATCGTTTAAACTTAGTTCAAAAACATTATTGAGCTTTCAAAAGAAAGTTACAAAATGAGTTTGAAAGTTAATATCTCCTAAACAAAAACTATATCATTTTTAGTGGTTATCAATATTGCCTGCCACATAGGGTACTATTTAGAAAGAACTGGAATAGAGGGTTAAAAACTGGCGACAGAAATTGCTGGGCTGGAGATAGGTCAAGCAAAACAAACTGGAACATTTCCCAACGGCTACTCTTGGTTTGTTGTTTGTTTGGAGAGCTGCGTCGTGGGGTATAAGTGAATAACTACGGCACTGGAATGGGGTAAATAGAGAAAGTTTATTAAAAAGGTACTTATATGGATTTCCTGCACCAAACAACACATGGAAGGTCCTAAGCTATTTAAATCGGACGCTGCTTACAAGAATCTTCCTGCTGGGTGGAAAGATAGGTTTTTCTTTCAAAAAAAAATACATCAAAAGGGATAGAATCTTTTTAAAGAAAATAATCTTCTTCTACTTTTTGTAGATCTTTCGATCTGTTTAATTCTGAAGCTGCGGGAGGTAGATTGGCAACTATCCCTCCATCTTTTAGGTGGTCTTCCGGGAGGTCTTGAACCGGGCGAATTGTTTTCTAGGGCAATTTTTGGGAGTCTATTCTCATCCATTCGTCTTACATGGTTGTACCACATCCTCTTTCGCTGCCTTCCCCATCTTACAATATCTTGAATTTTGCACTGCTCTCTAATGTTTGTATTTCTCGCTCTGTCTCTTCTTGTTTTCCCCAATATTGTTCTTAGGGTTTTCATTTCGGCAATCCTTAGCATCTGTTTCGTTTAAAGAAAATAATACTTGACGAAAATAATCTTTCGTGGTGTTTTAACTGCCAAAACCCCCTAATCGCGAATTGTAAAACATATCGATGTGTATCCCAGGTGAAATAGATCAGTATTTAATGAATACCGTACATTGAAAAACATACTGCACAAGACTGTGTATTGCGAATACAAATATGGTAGGCCTCTGTCCTGCAGTGGAGTTAAAACGGGCTGATTGTGATTATGAACTTAATTTTCATAGAATAGTCTATAATATAGCAATTCTGTGATTTACACTATACTTTTTGTATGTAATTAATAATATTGTAATTTAAATGTTGTAGGAAAATTTAGAAGATATGATTATGGAGTCGTAAACATTAAAAAGTATAAATCCATATCACCACCAGAATACAATGTTTCAGCAATTACAGCACCAATTGCTATCTACTATTCCCAAAATGACTTTTTTGCAGCAGTAAAGGTAAATTTAGAATAATATTTTAAGGAATTAATGTTCACTAGAGCTTCGTTTAAAGGCGAAAATATACCATTCAATTTGGTAGAACAATGTGGATGATTCAGCCAAAATGAACCATGTATTTTGCAATTCAATAAAAGCGTTCAACCAAATTAAACGTTGAAATGAGTCGAACCAATTTCTACTTTTGTTCAACTTCGTTGTACAACTGGTATGATTCATCAACATTAACGCGTCTATACAAGCTTTGTTGATTGTGTTCGATTCAACCGTTTATTTGATTTTGACTTGTGATATAATAAGTTTCATACGTGCGTTTCGAATCATCCACATTGTTCAACCGAATTGAATGGTGTATTTCCACCTTTAAGCAGGAAAGGTAGTGGGACCTTATAAATATAGATGAAAGTAAACCAAGCAGCATAAATTCATTACACCTGCTTAAGGTAATTATTAAAAATAAAAATTACAAAAACAAACTGCTACTCCAATTCTGCTCCTTATCTTTGACATAATAATTTATTTAATTCTAATCTCTTTAATATTTTCTCTCTTCAATCGTTCAGTATTATCTTTAAAAGATATTTAAAATATTTTTTTTTCTACTTTTACCTTGGCGGTCATTTCCCGTTTTTTGGGCTTCTCTTTACGGCCATCTTTGGTATCCGTATGTAATTCATTCTAATCATATATCAAAACTATCTTATGCTCCCTTTCCTAATAAAAGTAATAATGTACGCTTTATTATACTAGTGAAAGAGGCAAATTTAATAAATTCGATAATAAATAATAACAAATAATAAAACACCCTATATATTATTTAATTTTTGGATTCCTCAGAATATTCTAGACACATCTTAGTTACAATGTCCTTTACTATATTCAGAAAAGGTACTACCGAACATTGATTTGATAGTGGGGTGATTCTCCATCTTGCTGAAAGTATCTTATATTCTCTGGACTTTGTGAGCTTTCTGGATCAGGATATAAGTTTATTAAAGTTGGTACAATATTATTTTGGAGTAATGCTAAATAATTATTGCTATTTAAATTGACATTAACTGAAAAGGTATCTGTGATATAATATGGGTCTCCAAAAATGTCTGGCCGTATATTAACCTTTTCAGGATATTGTGTATGTTTCTATATTATCAGTGAGCATTTTGCTTAAACTAATAGCGATGATTCTAACGATTAGCATATTCCTGGACAGTTAAGGTACACTTCTATCAAAGTCGCCTTCCATGAGTTCCTGAGTTGGTATAATTTTCTAGAGATGCATTTTGTTTTGATTTAATGTTCTCATAATCGATAAATATCTATTATTAAACATTCTGGCTGTTTTTCGATTAGAAGTAAGTGGATGTTCCTCAAACTCAAACTGGCATAATATCCAATTGGCATGATTACATGTTGCATTGGCAACTGCTTTTTTTCATCTGCATTGTGTACATTGTTCATGTCCAAGCTTGCGAAACTGCTATCTATTTAACCAATTGTCTCTTGGAATATAGGCGGCAAATTTCAAAATTTTTCATCAAATAAGGGAGCAAAATCTATTTGTGTTTATGTGTTGTCTCCATTATCTGTAGAATTATTATCCAATTATCTGTAGAATTGTTATTTGGTGCATTTCTGGTGAACAAAACAATATTTTTTTAATTACTTAATGGCTTTGGATAACTTGATCCACTCAGCCACGATAATGTGTTTGACTCCTTAAATTTGTTAAATTTGTATTGACCTATTGCATTTGTTAACAAAATAATACTACGCCTAGAGCTGAATTAAAAATATATTGTAAATATCAGTATCACAAGAATCAGTAGATTGACAAAAAGCCATACTTTCATTCGTTACAATTCAGGGCCCTAACCAACTTAAAGTGAATATTTAGTACCATCAAGGGATTACATATTATTGGGATACTTTTCACGCTAAGGTGTCTTTCATATCGACTTTATTACAACACAACACGGGTAACGGCTCGAGATATATAAAGTACAAGATTGACTCTGAGGAAGAGGTACTTGTTCTTTTATCAGATTTTCTAATAGAAACTTTTCAATCGCAGAGTTCTGTTTTATTTAAATTAATTCTATGAAGATTTTACAATAGCATAAATCTTAACTTAACAAGGCATCTAATAAACATTGAATATACTCATCTATTGGGATGGCTTCTTGCTAGGGATGGGAAAAACCTACCGGTTTTAACCGAAAACCGGTTTTTTTACTTCCCAATAACCGGTTTTACCGGTTGTTTTTTTGTCCCGGTTATAACCGGTTTTTTATTTTTAAAGTAAAAACCGGTTATTAGGTTTTTTAGTTTTATAAGTATTATTTAGGTTGGATTCCAATCATATTTATTATTTTTCAGTAATTATTCCAAGCAAAACCAATTTTATTTTATTTTATAAATACAAAACCAAACTGAAAGTGCAAACTCATATCAGCCAGAATATAATATTTCGTTGAAAAGGTATTTGTAATCATATATATACATAAAAAGTGATCTAGTCTGGTACATTACATATTTTTCACACTTGACTCTTGACATTGAAAGTTGGTGAATGGCTTTTTCTGATTACCAAAAATAATAATATTCTGACTATGAATATCGAATTACCGAATACGAATACGAATCTCCAAGCAATTCGCTACGTTTTCAAAACAATACAGGAAGTATTAAATGAGTTAATGTATAACCTATTAAACAAATATACAAACGTGTTAAAAGTTATACATGATAAATTGTTTTTGATGGTAGTAAAAATATAAGATAAATTGCATTATCCAATTTATTTTTAAGTAAAATATTTATATTAATATTATTTTTTTTAAATCCTATTTGAAGAGTCTGGAAAATTTTTTAATAGAGGATTATATTTTCAAAGGGTAAATTAAATTTGAATCATTTAATTGAATACAATAATTATTGCATATTATATTCTACTCTCATAATATATTGACAATAATATGACAATAAAACCTGAATTATTTCAGTGCTCTCTGTTGAGCAGTATTATAATAATTTTGGTTTTGGTTTACTGTTCTCTACATCTGAATGACATCTGACTACTGAAATTCACAAATCTTTGGGATTCACAAAAATAAAATGTAATTTCCATCCAAGTAATCAAGTAATTTCCATGACGACATTGAAGACTAGTTATACATTAGGAGTGCCTAAATAATTAGTAACAACGCCGTTCTCTTTTCATCTTCAAGTTTTGAATTTTTCATTTTTACCATGTCGAAATCGTTTTTGTGGAATTTGTTTTCCAAGTGTAGCAACATGAGGAACAGTGCTCTATTTGTTTGAAAATAATAAAACCAGGAGAAGGCACGACGAATTTGAGGCAGCACCTAAAAAATAAACATCCAAAATATCTGGAAAAATAAGCCAAAGGTAAGCTCATTTCATAGAAAAATTTAAGTAAACGAATTAATAGGGGAATTTTGTTTTTGCTTAGGATAAAGAACTGGCGGACATCATAACTTTTTTGCATAGAGGCGATCAGGAAGCATCTTCATCTGCTTCTGAGGCGAGTGTGAGCTTTGCTTCATTTTACACATATTAAATTTAGTTGTCAGAGATTGCTTAGAATATATAAACAATGTAGCGTTAAAAAATGCAATAAACGAAATAAAAGCCATAGTCACGGTACAATCCGTACCAACCAGATGAAATTCTGTCTACCATATGCTTAAAAGATTCCCACTAATGTCCTCATATATAGCTGCAATACTGGCAGATCCCTCGATTAAAAAAGCACCAAAGATAATTTCTGGTTCAGATATAAAACTAATCACTGAAATTGTAACAGTTTTATCACCTTTCGATGAGGCCACAAATGAGATCTCGGGTTTCCAGTACATTACTAGTCTTGTTATCCCCATTGTGTCTATTATCGAAAGATCTTAAAAAAACCTCAAGCCAAATCTTAATACAGCCCAAAAGTTATACCAAAAGCTTATAACTAACCTTTAAGAGAGGGGCACTAAGCTTTTACGAAACCCTCTGCTTTGCCATGCTACAATCACGGACCCTAGGTTCAAAAAACTATATCTGAATCCGTCTATAGCGGAGACAGTCATATCCAATTTAGGCTCGGAAGTAAAGACGTACCTTACCGAAATCGGAAAAATTTCTCCTTTCTGCTCCTTCCAGAATAAAAAAGCCAAAGTGAGTTTAAAATCAAACCCTCTTTGGTCTTCAAACGATCTGGAGTTGGTGAACAGTGGTTCCAGTTCATGTTCTCAGGACACACGGATTCAAAGTTCTTTTCCAAATGAACTAACTCTATATCTAAAGCAGCCTTTGCTGCCGAGATTAAGTGTTCCGTTTTCATTCTTGAGCAGCACTGAACCTGTATGCCAGGCTTGGCTTTTATAGCTAAAAAATACATGTCGTTGGTCGGAAGATCGGTGGCATCAGAAAGACTTATGTCATCATTGAATGATATTGTGTCAGATGAGAGAAGCCGCTTAACCGACCAACATATATATGAACGAGCTTTTCTCAATAGGCTTCATGAATATTGGCTAACAATTGGTTAACAATACATTTCATATAATAGGTAAGGTAACATATTTGTCACCTTCTAACCTATACTTTTTTACTTAAAATATTACTTCATTATACTTATACTTTAATCTTACGCTATATTATATTTAATGATAAATCAATGAATATATAATAATAATAAAATAATAAATAAAATAATAAAATGGTTTTATTAAAAATTGTGTTTTATTTATATTGATAGTGATGTTCTTTCGATAATACTAATTTTGATCATATTGATATCGAGTTGAATGAAGTATCGCAAACTGAAGTGCATTGTAAATGTAACTTTGTAACATATTGGATTAAAAAAACCGGAAACCGGTTTTTGGAAAAACCGGTTTTCTTGGCCGGTTATAACCGCCAGGTTAAACCGTAAGCAAAAAAAACCGGTATAACCGAAAACCGGTGTTTTAGTCAAAAACCGCCATCCCTACTTCTTGCAGCAAAAGGCGCAATAGGTAAAACAGGGTGAATTTTTGTATAAAGGATGTTACTTCTGTTACAGAAAGCATTCCCATCAATTTCCAGTTTTGTTTTAATTCTTGTTGGCGCAGCAAGACTAAATCACTTCTATTGAGCCAACTAAGTTCTAATCTTTTTGAAGGCGCTTCTTTAGCTAAATAATCTGTTTTGGTTTACCCGAGAGACCAGCATGCCCCTTTATTTAAATGAAAGAAACTGAATTATTTCTTTTTTAAGTAACTTTAGTTGATTTTCTAAAATTTTGACTCTAATTCTGTTATTGCAGATATGCTTATACGAATTATCTAAAGTCAACCATTACTGTGATATGATTTTTTTCTTTCATCTAAAGCAGTCATAATATCAAATATATATATATATATATATATATATATATATATATATATATATATATATATATATATATATAGACATAGCTCGTCTTGTTAGTTTAGCCTAAAACTATTATTGTTTTAGGACGTTGAACTCTTGGTCAATCAGTTACCCAACGTGGCAAAGCTAAGGATGATTGAGGATAGACGATTTAATCATGTTGATTACATTTGGGCCAAAGATGTTGCTACAATTATTAATGAGGATGTGATCGCCACCCAGAATAAGTACATACCAGCTGAGCCGCCACAGGATAACTCGGCCAATACCATTTTTGGAAAATCTGTTTTGTATCCGATCATAACAATGTTTCTCACTGTATTGTTGTATCAATAAATAAAATGTTAAGTATGATTTTGTAATGTTTTCATTTTTATTTATATTTGTATTTACTTCCAAAGTATACGATAAAAAATAATATTTTTTTAAATTTTATGTGACAAGTACGCGTACAGAAGTGCCACTTGCTTTGACAGCCATGAACGAAAACAATTAAATAATATTTATTGATACCGATTAAAGCACGGTAAGTTCAATGAATTTGTCCTCATATGCCATATATTTACGAAATAACACAAGATATAAACGAAAAGTATGGACTTGGAGAAAGGAACGAAAGAGGGCAGAGACTAATACAGCTCTGCCAAGAAGAGAATTGCATTATAGAAAATACTTTGTTTCAACAACCTAAAAGACGACTATATACCTGAAAATCTTGAGCTGATCAGGAAGAAAAGATATTCAGAAATCAAATGGACTACATTATCATTAACAGAAGGTTTAGAAACAGTATTACATATGCAAGAATATTTCCAAGTGCAGACGCAGCAACTAATCATAATCTGCTCTGTGCTGGATTCCAACTAAAATTAAAAATAGTAAAAACCCCGACAGCCCAGAAAAAAACATAATAATTGACTCCTAAGAAACGCCGCTATAGCAGACGAGTTCGGAAATAAGATAAATCATGAAACTAAAAAACAGCTAGAAATATCTGAACAAGAAAATATCGGACAAAATGTAGATATAATGAATTCCGCCATTGTTACCATAGCAGACGAAGTTTTAAAATCAAAAAAATCAAAGAAGAAATTGTAATGAGACTCGATACAGACAAATATATCGACAAATAATATACGAGGTTAAGCGAGCAAAAGAGGACTGGATGGAACAGAGATGTCGTGAAATGGAAGAACTACAAAGAAAACATGATGAGTTGAATAAACACAAAAAACTTTAAAAAGTTACCTACACTCAGAGAAAAAAAACTTCTCACTTTATGAGAAAATTCAAAGGTAAAGTCATTCTCGACTTAAACGAAAAAAAGGAAGAATGGACCAACTACATAAAAGAGCTCTTCCTGAATACGAGGCCACCACTTAACGACACAAAGTATACGACTACTGGTCTTAGTATTTTAAAAGCAGAAGTAGAGAAAGCCATCAAACAAAGCAAAAATGGGAAATCTCCAGGTACTGACCAAATACCATCAGACTGGCTCAAATTTCTAGACGACGACAATGTCTCAGAACTAACAAACATTTATAACCACATATACGAAACTGGAACACTGCCACAAATATGGTTGGAGTCTACATTTATCTCGCTTCCAAAAAAACCTAATACATCCTCATGTAAAGACTTTAGACTAATTAGTCTCATGAGTCACTCTATCAAGCTACTTCTTAGAATAATTCTTAATAGAATCAAGCATAAATGTAAAGACACAATCGGAAATAAACAATTCGGTTTCAGAGAAAGATTGGGAACAAGAGAAGCTTTGTTCTCAATGCTAACACTACTTCAATGATCATGGGAAGTACAGAAATCAATTTACGTCTGTTTTATAGATTTTGAGAAGGCGTTTGATATGGTTCAACATGGTAGGCTGTTTAAATATCTAGAAATAATTGGAATAGATGATAAAAGTCTGAGACTTTTACAACATCTATATTGGAATCAAGAAGATTCTATTCTGGTAGACGGCACAGAAACAGACAAAATTTGTATTCAAAGAGGTGTTAGACCGGGTTGTGTGTTGTCCCCAACTTTGTTTAACGTTTACTCAGAAATAATTTTTAACAAAGCCTTGGAAGGACAATGTGGAGTTTGAATCGGGTTTGAATTAATAACATCAGATATACAGATGATACCGCAACCATGGCTGAAAGTATCGAAGATCTTCAATTGCTTATAGATCGAGTCACTAGAGAATGCTCTGATAACGGAATAAGCATAATTACAACAAAGACAAAGTTACTTGTGGTTAGTAAACAAGACCTCGGCGCTATACAACTAATTGTCAATAATGAATCGATAACAAAGGTTGACCGTTTTAAATATCTAGGATGTAGGATAAACGAGACACTAAATCCGGATGAAGAAATTAAAACTCGTATAGAAATTGCAAGAGGAGCACTTATGAAACTTAGATCTATTCTGAGCAATTCTCAGCTGAACTTGCAGCTAAAAATTAAGTTCCTAAAATGTTATGTGTATCCTGTATTACTGTATGGATGTGAAACCTGGATTATGAAGGTTAACATGATAAACAAATTAGAAGCCTTCGAGATGTGGTTATATCGTAGAATGCTCAAAATATCATGGGTTCAACACATTTCAAACAGAGAAGTCTTGCACAGAGAAAGCAGATACAGAATAATGCAGTTGATACTCAACGGAAAGATCGACGGAAGAAGAGGAATTAGTAGAAAGAAATACTCATGGCTCTGAAACTTTCGTCAATGGACTGGCTTATCAGCAGATGAATTATTACATTCCGCGCAAGATCGAGAACGATATCGGCATGGAAGCTACCCATGCCTAAAACTTGGGCACGGTACTCAAAGAAGAAGAAGCCATATATTTGGGCATTTAGTTGAACAAAACGATAGCAGCTTTTGCTAAAAGATTTAATCTTTTATATATTTCGTGCCTTAAACCACCCTCTTTCGACAGATGTTGAAACCGTAACTAATGCAATCACAGAAGCGTTAATGACTGCACAAAAACAGTACTGTGCTAGACCAGCCGGAAAAGAAGAGAAACTGAGCGAAAACACCAGAAAGCTCATTAAAGAAAGAAAAATCAAGAGATCAGAGCAGAAAGGCGACTCAGCTGAACTCAGAAAGCTGAACAGAGATATCTCAAAAGCAATTCTTAAAGATCAGAGGAAGTATAATACTGAGAAAATACAAAATATGATTGAGCAAAATGGAAATATGAAAATACTCAGAAGAACGCTTTGTGATGGTAAAAAGGAAATTGTTAAACTAAAGGACAAGATAACAACAAATAGAGAGAGAATAGTAGAGATAGCAAAAAGCTTCTATGAAGAATTATACAAAAGCCAGTTAACAGAAGAAGACAAAACACAAATTAGAGAACGCAGAGTAATGAACCAAGGATCCGAACTTCTGCCTACCATAACGATAGAAGAAGTGAAACGAACTCTAAAGGAAATGAAAAACAACAAGGCTCCGGGAGATGACCAAATAGTAATAGAAGCTGTTAAAGTAGGAGGCAAGAAACTGCTGAAAGTAGTAACTGAACTATTCAACCTATGTCTAAACCAAGGTATTGTCCCTACAAAATAGAACAATGCAATTACTATCCTAATACACAAAGGAGATATATCAGACCTAGAGAATTATAGACCGATAAGTATGTTGTCACATCTCTACAAATGGTTTACCAAGATCATCACAAAACGTTTAGAATGAAAATTAGATTTCAATCAGTCTAAGGAGCAAGCTGGGTTTAGGAAAGGTTATGGAACAAATGACCACCTACAAGCACTTAAAATACTAATTGAAAAATGTGTTGAATATAATAAACCACTCATGTTGATTTTCATAGACTTCAAGAAAGCTTTTGATACCGTGGAATTACCGGCCGTATTAGGAGCATTAGAACAAATCCGAGTAGACTATAGATATACAAATTTGATAAAACATATATACAACAACGCAACAGCATCTGTTAAACTCCATGACTTTACCGATAAATATACAATTGAGCGAGGAATTAGACAGGGCGACACCATTTCCCCCCAACTATTCACTGAAGCTCTGGAATATGCCTTTAAAAAAACTAGATTGGGCTAAAAGGGGAATAAATATTGATGGTGAATACTTAAGCCACTTGCGTTTTGCAGATGATATTGTCATTATAGCCGAGAGTTTAAATGAAGCTCACAAAATGATGAAAAACTAAAACAGGCAATAGAACAAATAGGCCTGAACATAAACTTTGAAAAAACAAAATACATGACCAATTTAGTTCCAAGTGATGTTATGAGGGTAGATGGGAACGAAGTACATCAGGTCTTTAGCTATATCTATTTAGGGCATGAAATTAGAATAGGAAAAGACAATCAAACTTGTGAGATCCAGCGTCACATAGGCTTGGGATGGGCAGCATTTGGCAAGACGCGAGATATTCTAAAAGGAACGCTACCGATTTGCTTGAAGGAAAAGGTTTACCACCAATGCATACTGCCAGTAATAACATATGGTTCCGAAACAATAACTTTAACCAAACATTCGGCAAATAAATTGAGAGTAACCCAAAGAAAAATGGAAAGAGCAATGTTGGGAATAACTAGAAGAGATATGGTACCAAATAGGATAGTGAGAGAGAGGACTAAAGTGACAGATATCATAGAAAAAATTGAACAAGCCAAATGGAGATGGGCTGGACATATAGCACGTTTAAATGATAATAGGTGAACCAAAAGACTCATAGAATGGAGACCTAGAGAAGACAAAAGACACCGAGGCAGACCACCAAAAAGATGGATGGACGACTTGAGAAAAACAGTCGGAAATTGGATACAGAAGGCCCAAGATAGAGAACAGTGAAAGAACATGGAGGAGACCTATATCCAACAGTGGATGCAAGAGGTTGAGGAATGATGATGATGATAATGATGATATTTCGTATAGTCCAGAGGACAGAAATCGATAATATTAAATCGTTTTCGTTTACTTCCGTAAAAGCAGGTGGTAGCTCTGTACGCTAACTACTGCCGTGGTCAAGTTTAAGGAGACATTCTTTGTACTTTCCGTGTTTCAATTTGCATTTAATTCAGAAAAGCAAAAGCGATAGCAGCTTTAGCTAAAAGATTTAATCTTTTACATGTATATATATATATATATATTATAAGTATATATATATATATATATATATATAAATATATATATATATATATATATATATATAAGGATAATGCGAATTAATAATAAAAGTAAAATGATATGTCTCGCAAAAAAGGTATATTGATAGAAGGAAAATATTTATACGTATTTCTGACTATTGGTCGTCTTCAGTACTAT